GCGGGAGCTCCCATTCCTCGGGCGCTACACGGTGCTGAACTCACGCATCCTTGTGACGCTTCTTTGCGTAAATTGCGCACTTGCGTCCTAAGGTCTTTATGGCACGGTCGTTGTGGAAGGATTCCCGAGATCCTCACTACGCTTTTCTTCCCCGGTCATCGTGTTGGCCCCGTTCAGGTTTGTCTTTATAAGCCCCTAATCACCCTGCGCCGCATGTGTCTTAAAAACACGCTCACCAGAGACGTTTGCCAGTCCATTTGGACCTCTCGCCTTCAAAACCCTTGTCCTGCAATCCATGGTCCGATGCACTGCGTTGCTAATGCTGTCGTGCAAATCGGCTGGTCTTGGTCGCAATTTGAGCGCTTTGACCGCCCTTTCCTCCCTCCAGTACATTGGCTGCAGTGTTCTAAAAACTGGTTCTCTCATCAAGTTCGTGACGGCCTTCGTCAAGCCCAGGTTCTTCTCGCTGCTCAGCGTTGTCGGCGCCTCGCTGGCTTCACCTACCTGGACCGACACATGAGTCTCATTCTTCTGCGGCGTCTCAAAAGACAGGCGCAGGATTATGCCCATGGCACGCTTAAAGCTGTCCTAAGTAACGCGATCAAGACTGCCGTCATTTTTCATAAGTCTAAGTTAGTCTCTTCGCCAGTTTGTCCTTTTTGCGATCTTGATGTGCACGAAACCACCTCACACATGTTTGAGGTTTGTCCGCGTTGGTCCGACATCCGCGCTCCATTCCCGCAGGCTTTTGACGATCGCTTGCCTACGTGCACCAGACTTACTGGCCTCGCGTGTCTTGAACCGTCTACGATCGGCTCTATCCGTGCTTTGTGTGACCAGTTGCCTGTTGCTTCTCCTTCTCCCGCTAATCCCGTGCATGACGCCGCTGCTCAGTTGCGTCCTTCTGACTCTGTGACTGTGTGCATCGCCTGCTTCACTCTTGATGCTTGGCATCCTATTTGGCGAAGAGTTGGTTTCTGCCTCAAATGTTCTCCGCCACTGCCTTCTGTTGATGTGTCTCTTCCCCTGCCTGGGCCAGAGCAGTGTTCAAAGCGTGCTGCAGCGCTTGCTTTGTGTATCGCTCTGGAACGTCTGCAATCTGCTTTTTCGGTTGTGGCTTCTTCGCTTGATGTTCTTTCATTTTGGGATAAGGTTTGCTCTAAGTCCCCCACCCCTCCTGATGACGACAACACTGATTTGTTGCGTCGAGTGCAATCTACCTTGCTGCTCCGCCCCTGTAATGCTCCTGTTACAGTCCGCCTTCTTAAAAACCCTAAGCACTCCCCACTGTTTTGTGCCTCTGTTTTGTCAGCCAAGCGTGCGGCTGCTGCGCACCATGATGCTGCCTTCTCACATGCCAAGGCTGATTATGACTCTCTCTGCAGCAAAGTTCTGGCCCGCCAGAAGATGTTGCTCGCCATTGTTTTGGCTCGCAGCAGATACGCCAAAGAGCACAGGCTTCTCACTTTTTGTAAAAACACAAGTGCCTCGTCTTCGGAGGCTGTCTCCTCTCAACTTCCTTCTGCGCCGTCCCAGCGCGCCAGCGCTACGCCTTCTACCGACTACCTTGTGCACCCTGATAACTTTCAAGGGCTCATGCTTCGGCTCGGCCCTTTTAAACCGTTTTCTCGAGCACTTAGGTTCTCTCCCGGAGAGTTTCTATATGACGCCCTCACTTGGTACTTGCTCCAGCTTAAGTGGCCGGATCAGCCTCTTGAGTCCACCAGAGGTATCACCTTTCTTGAGCTCGCGATGGACTTTGAAGTTTCGACCGCCATAGCCTTGCCGGGCAGTGCTAAGCGCCTCCAACAGTCTGGCCGCAAGCGCATTCGGCGTGGCGCATCTCAGGTCGTTCGCACCGTGTTTGAAAGTGCTCCTTCGGACACCTTCTTAAAACATAAGATAGTCCAGGTTGGGTCGCCCCAGCGGGGGTTGCGGTACTTTTGTACTGCCTGCCTTCGCTCTGGTGGTTGGGGTGATAGGCATGCCTTCTTGAAATTTTCATGTGCTGGTAAGCCTGAAACTACTGCTCAGGCCGTGCGTAGGCATAGAATGGCCAATCAGCGTAAAAAGCTGCTTCAGCTTTCTCAAGATGATTCCATGCCGCCGCTTGGTGAAAGAGCTCTCTTCTTTTCTGACTGCTTTCGCAGTGTTCTTGCAAAGAACAAGCCGCATAGCCTGGAGGCGCCGGCGTGCCTGGTTTGCCGCGCTCTCTCTGGCTTCTCGCTGCCGCCTTCAGCTGGCTTGCTGCGCAGGCCCATTCTTCTTATGCAATCGTGCGTCACATCTGAAATCCGAATCGCTTCGGATGCATTTCTTGGCAATGCCCTGCCTGCTGCCGATCAATGGCACGCGAACTGGTTTCCTAGCTACGATGCTCTGGATGTTCGTCCGCGCCCTTTATGGCGCCCCCGCGAGCCTGATTAGGCTGTTCTCTTCTAAGTAGGGCGTAGGGGGTTTCGACTAAGCCCGCGACCTTACTGCAAAGACACACACTTTGAGAACGAGCTCGGTGTTCAGGATCCCGTCGGATTTTGGGATCCGGCTGGTTCTCCGGCATCGATGCACCTATCTCCAGCGTACGTTCCGGAGGTGATGGAGGTAGGTGGGATGAGTCAGCGTACGCACTGCGTTGAATGCACAAGTCTCTTGTCCTATGTGTGGAGTTTGCTTCGTTGCACCAAGAATCGCATCATGCATGCCCTCTGCGGCAACGGTCGAGGTAGCTCCAAAGGCAAAACAAACAAAGGCTCTCAGATGCAGAATGCTCTCAACTTAGATAAGGAAGTGCAGTATATGGAGGAGGTACGCAATGCCTTACCAGAAGCCGCCAAGATTAGAATGATGCCCCAGCTTGTGCAAAGCAAATGGAGCGCCCCTATCCGTTCATACACAGACATGTCCGATGAGGGAGGCGTTTGCATTGTGCATAAGGACCAGGTGCCAACGGTTTTGCGGGCCGTGGGATACACCCTGGCTCCCACATCCTAACCACACAGCATGCGCAGGCCCTTGGTCTCAAACACTATCCTTGTGCCAAAGTCACGTGCCTTTTGAGGGTTCGTGATGAACATGGTGATTTCATCGAAGTCACAGTGCAGAGGCATTTAATCCAGCTAAGCTTTGGCCCTCCTGTCACCATTGCAGCGGAAGGCTGTGCCTATGCATCGTGTGGTGATCAAAATGCCGGCTTGCTTTAGATGGACGCCCGAGGCCCTCACAGGCGCCTCTGTTGCTGCGATCCTTGCACGCCATGTCCCGGCTCCAGCTTGTGAGGATATCCTTGTGCGACAGGACCAGTCCGCAACTGCGATGATTCACGAATCCGTCCTCCCGAAACTCAATGCAATGCAGCGGCAAAGATGGGGTGTTTTTCAAAACACATGCCACCTCAAGCTACTTCCCAGAAATGCACATGCTTTGGCTCTCAGAGGACGCCAGTCTTGACCAGGCTTTGGACCTGGCCAGCAAGAACGACCATTGCCATGGGCTCGCAGCAAAGAACGCTGCTCACAAGCCCAGATTTGCGCTCAGGTTCCTCGATGTCAATGAGTTTCGCTCCGCTGCAAAAAAGCTTGGGCTGCCAGACTCGTCGGCTGGCGCACTCACGTTGCTTGAATCCAAGCAGTGGCAAGTCGTGGAAATTTTATACTTCTCCGAGGTGCAATGCGTCTTCTTATCCAAAACCCCGGGAAACACCGGCCCTATGTTTTACCAGCAGGCTCAGGGGCACCGTAAGCAACTTGTCTTCAAAGCTCTCAACACGTTGGCGCGACAGCAACTTGCCGATGCGAATAAAAATGCCAGAGCTTCAGCAGCCGCTCCGCCTCAAGATGTCGCACTTGCAGGGCGCCCCTCCAGGGCAGTTGAACGTGACAGGTGGTGCCGCCGTTGGCAACTCGTGCTGCTGGAAAGGCAGAGGAGGTCACCCCCAGGCATGAGGAGGAAGAAAAGCGTCCTTCGAACCAGCGCACGGGAGAAACGCCCGATGCTCAGAGGATGCGCACTAACTAAGCTCAACAACTGCAAGTCTCACCTTTCTTGCTTATGGTTCCTGCCTAGCAGAACCCGCAATCGTTACATGCACGCCTTACATGGCAATGCTGCGAGAGGCTGTGTGCGTGGCAGACGCGCTACAGACCATGATGCTTCTCTCATTGCCTCACGCCACTTGGCACCATCGACTAGTCAGGGATCAGCACAGTTGCAGAACGCTCACGAGAAGCCTTTCTCTTGCCTTACTCTTAATACTGGGGGGTTCAACAATGCAGCCAAATGGGCTGCCGTCCGCACTCTCAAACAGGACATCATTGTCCTTACTGAGACTCAACTTCAGACTCACTCTTATCGCAACATCACTCACCAATTCAAAGATTTTCATTGCATTCACTCGCTGGGGAAAGATGTCGCTGTTTCGTGCTTCGGGCAGGCTAGGTGAACAGCCTTCGTTCTTGCGTCACTACAGTGAGCATGTTTGGAAACATGTATCTTGCTTTGTTGGCTCAAGTGTACTCGAGCCAAAATGTGAGACTCTGTGTGCCAGAGTCTGCCTAGTGTGCCTAGGCAAGAATCTTTGCGTCTTTCACCCGTCTTAGAGGTGAATCTTGGCTTGGTCATTGCCTTGCTTTGTTGCTTGCGTTTGCTGAAAAAGCGTGGAAGCTTTCATGCAAGCTAGCGGTGTGACAACCCGCGCCGAATTGGCTTTTTACTTTTCCAGTCGACAAGAGGCGGAAAGCGAGGCAGGAGTGCAAGTCGCCGCCGCTTGGGAGCTTGCGCGCTCGGAATGCCAGAAAGGCTTGGCAGCGCAGGTGCGGGACTTGTTTTTGAGCGAGGCTTTGCCAACCTGCTCCTCTGCTTCTAGCATGGCTACGTCCTTTGTGAGCTTGGCCCCTCCTGCTCGAGGTGTGCGTGCAGTGCGAGCTCCACGCGTGAAGGGAGGCGTGTGCGTGCAGCGTTCGGCGCTGCCGCTGGTCGAGGCCAATGCCAAACACCGGCCAGTCATGGTGGAGGTGCTGCGGAAGGCAAGCAGGTTTGTTGGCCAGTTGAGCGCTGCCGAGGGAGCAGCTGTGGTGGACGCTGCCGTGGATCCCATCTTGGCGTCTGCAGAAGAGGTCACACTGCGGAAAGTGGCGCGCACTTGGGCCGAGCTCTGTGCATGGGCGCAGCAGAACACAGTTGAGCTTTCAGCACTGTCAGCCGTGCATGTAGCGCAGTTTGTCTTGACAAGCAAAGCTAAGAGTCGGGTATTACCGGCGCTTGTGTTCATGCGTAAACATTTGCATTTTGCCCCAGACCTTGGCTTGACGAAGGCATTCCGTTCTGCCAGGTCGGGAGGTGTCGGACTCGGTGCCAAGCAAGCTCCTGTAGCGCAACCAGCCATGCTGCTGTCCTTAGAGCAGCAAATTGTTGCATCGTGTCGCAATCGCAACCCAGATTGGCTAGGCCTTTTTGCCACTTGGTGTCAGGCGACAGGTTGCGTCCGACTTGTGCATGTTCAACGTAGCAGGTTGGTCCAATTGGACCAACGTACCATGCTCTTTGAGTGCGTGCGTGGGAAGCAGCGGACCTGTCCCAGGTTTTCCATAGCCGAGAGCGTTGACTTTGGCGGCATGTTCTTGGAAGCCTTGCAGAAACAGAGCTGTCCTAGCTTGATTCAGTGTGTGGCTTTCCGCGCCACCAGTGGTGAAGAGATCGCGCCCAGCGCAGTGCGTAGCGTTGTTGGTCTAGCCATGTCCGCAGTGTTGCCTCCAGAAGAGGCGTGCAAGGTCTCGTCAAAGTGTTGGCGTCAAGTCCCAGTCACGCTTTCATTATTAGGAGGTTTGGATCCGACTGAGGTGTGTGCGCTTGGTAACTGGTTGGATAAGGGACCCTCAAGCCGGAATGTGATGCCTTGGCGGTATCACCGAGCCAAACTGCGGCAAACTACTGAGCTCAAACATCACCTCCGTTTCGTACTGCGAGAGATCTTGCTCGCACCGGCCTGTGCTGCCTGGGAGGATGTGGACACGGACGTGATCCGCGACTGCTTTAGGAGGGCTCGTGTAGCTGTAGCCGCCCAACTGAAGGTGCAGCCCCAAGTTCAATACCAGTGGCAAGGGCCGCGTGGTGTGCGTGGTGAACAAGCATTTCGCCTTCGTCGCTCAAGTCTTTCTAGGTTACAGAAGGGCTTAGCACCTACATTATCGAAGGCGTCCGAGCGTGTCGCAGGCTGTGCGCAGCAGAGTGCTTCTGTGGCAGCGGCTGTGAACCCGGCGCTGCCTGTTGCTGAGTGTGTCAGCTGCGAGAGTGCCTCGCCGGCGCTTGTGGTGCCCGAAGGTCAGCGTCCCAAGTCCAAGGTCCAAGCAAATCTCCGATGCGTGCCAACGCGACCAGCGTTCCTGTGGCTGTGGCCACTGTGGACCGTGAGGACGAATTCTTCGCCCAGTTGGCAAGGCAGCGCTGGAGTCGTCCAGGCCGGAGAACGAAACCAGAGCCGCCTACTGTGGTAGCTAGGTGGAATTCAGCTCGCGCGTCGCCCGTGGTGTTGCTCGGTGGGCTACCAAGCCAGGCCGATGCGCCGTTGTTTCAGAAGTATCAGGTGAAGTTAGTTGTCACTTGCTGTCGTGAGACGCTCGCCGATAAGCAAGGGTACATCCACCCGGGAGCATTCCACCTCCATATCGACCTCATGTGCCCTGCGTCAAGACAGGAAGCCTGGGTTGTTGTCAAGCGGTGTCTGTTTAACACCCTAGCTGCGGATGGATCCGTGTATGTCCATTGTTCTGCCGGTGTGCGCCGCGCGCCTTGTCTGGCTGCTGTTGTCGTGGCACACATCCTTGAGGTCTCATTCGACGCCGCGCTTGAACATCTGCGTCGTGTCCGAGCTATCAATCCTGATGGCCTCATTCAGCGAGATTCGGATGGTGAGCTATTCAAATGGCTCCGCCGTATTGCAGATGGTAGCATCACTCCTACCTTGACAGTGACCCTGCCGCTTCAGTTCCTTGCCAGTGCCCGCGGGCACTCTGCCATTCATGTGTTGGCTGCCGATGGCAACGTTGAAAAGCCCCAGCCAGCGTGTCGTTGGCGGCAGGCCAGGACGGGCCAGCGTGCTGTACCAAGCGATCAATGGATGTTGTGGATGTCTGGGACGTCCGATCCATTTTCAATCAACGCACGTCCACGGCTAAGCGCCGCCGTGTAGCAGGGAGCTTGTACATCAGTGAGCAAGGCGATGAGGACGATGCGGGTCCCGGCGAACAGACTTGGGTGACTTACTTGCAGCAGTTGCGTGTGTGCTTGTATGCCCTTGCGTTGCCTGGGGCTGCTGCGGTGGACCCAGCGCCCTCTGAGCGTGAGACGCCTGAGCGCAGTGCGGATTTTGTGCAAGTGCCGCTGGATGTGCTGTTGAAATACTGGTTCCGCTGCGAGAAGTTGGCTCTGCAGCTCCCAGAGCGCTTGCGGTTGCAGCACATCCAAAACCTTGACCGCGTCGAGCGGGGTGAGTGGGCCCAGCGGTTTGCCAATGGCACATGTACATTGGGGCAATGCGTACTGACCGTGTTTCGTGATAGGGATGCGCGCTGGATGGCCCCCCCTCCTGAGCCTCCTGCTCCCCCAGCGAACCGGCGCGGAAGCCCTACAGAACAGCCGCTTGCTCCTGCAGATCCAAACGCAGGTCAGTTCGCCAAAGAGTTGCGGGATGGCACGCGTTTGTGCCAGCATTGGCAGACCGGGAAATGCACCAAGCAACATGATGTCAACTGCAACAATGGAAAGCACAAGTGTGCTGTCACCTTCCGCTCGGGGCGCGTGTGTGGCGCACCGGATCACATCGGCAAGAACTGCCGTTTTCTTCAAAAGCACACTCGCTGAGCCAACAGCGTGGGCCCCCCCTATCAGGCTGCCTGTGGGGGGGAAGGGTTTGAGCAATCTGTGCCCGTTCAAAACCTTGCCGAGGTTTGCGAGTTGCAGGGAACATTGTTCCCTCAATACATGCAAGAATTAGAATCCTTTTGGCGTTGTCAGGCCGAGCCGGATGATGACCAGCCCCGAGTTCCAGTCTTTTTAGACCTCTTGTCAGGGCCGCGTTGCCCTCTCACGCAGGCTTTTCAGTGGGCCGGTTGGAAGGTGCTGCAGCCAATTGACATCGCCATCGATCCCGCCTGTGATGTCACTGATGTGTCAGTGCAGCGTGCCATAGGCGAAGTTTTGCCAACCGTCCATTTGTCTGCTGCAGCAATAGACTGCAGCACTAAAAGCCGAATTCGCGCGATTCCAGTGCCAGGCGCCAAGAGAGCGCCCAAGCCTCTGAGAAGCCAGACATTTCCACGGGGCTTGCCCAATGTACGAGGCGCGCAGGCGGCGCGCGTTCATGCCGACAATGCCTGTTCCGACTTTCTGCTGGCCACTCAGCATGTGTTGCATGAGCACGGTAGGGGGGCTTTCAGAGAGAACCCCGGCAACAGCCTTCACTGGTTTGACCCTGTTGAGCAGAAGCTCCAAGCTTCGGGGCAGTGGCATGACTTCCAGTACTTTGCCTGTGTTTTTCTCGATCTCTGCGCGGCGCAAGTTCCAGGTTATCCGCCACAACCTGGCTAGCATGCAGGTGTTGCCATTTCACCAGTGCGGGCATGTGCACGACCCGCGTGAGTGGGCTCCAGTTGTCAGCGAGTCCGGGGTCAGCTACCCAAGTACAGAGGAAGCTGAGTATTCCGCATCTTTGTGCTTCACTCTTGTTGCCGCGGCGTCGCACTGGGCGGTTGACAAAGGGTTTGCTGTCTTGCGCATACAGCGCCTCCCGCCTGTGCAGCCTTCAGGTGATTGGAGGGGACTCCTTACCCTGCCTGCTGAAACATTTCGCGCGGACTCCATGGCTCTGATGGCGGCCCATGTCGGCCTGTCCCCCTACCCAGGTTCCGCTACTTGCGTTCAGGTCCAGGCTGTTTGGGTGCGCGACAAGCCGTTGCCGTGTGATGTCGTGTACATAGGACACAGTCACTTTTCGCACAGACTGCCGGTCACGTGTTGGGAGAACCCGTTTGTGGCTGGCCGCGATGGCAGCGCTGAGTTGGTTGTCTTCCGTTACATGCAGTGGTTTCCGAGATCAGGCCTGCAAGGCAAGTTGTTCCAGCTTTGTGGAAAAAGGCTTGCGTGTGATTGTGGGGCAACAGAGCTGTGCCATGGTGATTTTCTCCTCGGGCTGTTGCTACAGGGCGCCGATTCCCCCACACCCCAGCTTCTCCCGGCACAGACCGCAAGGGTGCGGCGGGTCTTGTTGGCTGCTGCGGCTGGTTTGCAGATTCCCGCTGGGATCGCGTACCCAATTAGTCAAGCCTCGATTGCGTCTGCAGCTCAGTCGCTCCTTCAGGGCGGCGGGCCGAGTGAGCGCTTTTCTTTGCAGTGGCCCTACATGGAAGACTTGGTCAACTCTCCACACTTCTCTGCCTTTGGCGCTTGGTTGAGAGATCGGGGGTTGCCCGACGCTGGAACGCTGGGTCCTCGCGCCCTGGGATCCGCGTGTGTCATGGCCCAGCGCGCGAGTGCGGCAGAGCAGGGCGCCGCTGTGAATAAGCGTAATGCACTTCCGCCCGTAGTGCCATACGGACAAACTGCGGACAATCACTTCCGCCTGCCAGTGCAGGCCCAGTGTACTGGTTGCCCACTTGATTGGGAAGCGGCAGTGGACCACGACGTGCAGTTTGCCGCGTCATGTGTGACGGGCAACCTTGACCGTCTCCGACGCACTCGGGCGGATGCTCTAGAACTTCTCAAAGAATTGTCGAGGCGTTTGTGGCCGGTGTCGCAGGCGTTGCACAGCGTCCAGCACCCAGATGTGCACTCAGTCAACCAACAGGTGCATCTTGCCTTGTTTGCGGTGTGCACTGTTTTGTTCGCCTGGCCTGACACGTCGTTTGTTCGGGGTCTGTTGAGAGGCTTCAGTGCAGTTGGGTATCAACCGCAGTTTTGCACCCTGGAGGAAGCCTTGCTTGAAGGTCGAGCCGATGCCGACGCCGTAGTACGCTCTCTTCGGCCGTCAGCCGATGATGCTGTGGCTTGTGCAGCGGGCGAGAAGGACGAGCAGTCTGGTTTTTGTCATCCCAGCATCGGGTGGCAAGAGTTGCTTGCTACGGGTCGCTCGTTCCGGTTGATTAGACGGTTTGTGATAACCCAGGCCAGTGGTAAAAAGCGCGGCATCGATGACTCTATGTCAGGAAGACAAAGCGAGTTCAGCAGCGATGCCAATAAGCTTCAGTTCTGCTCAGCAATTCAACCGTGCCTCCACGCCCAGACCCTGGCAGCAGAACTGTCCAGGGCCGGTATCAGCTTCGACGAGTGGCTTGATGATTTGGTCACTGCCGGGGAAGACCTGCCTGAAGCATACCGGAAAATGCCCATGAAGCCTGATCATTCCTGGGCGTGTGTGGTCGCCTATCATGATTGCGAAGCCGGAGGTCCGAGGTTCAGGCGCTACAACGGCATGCTGTTCGGGTTGCCCCTTGCAGTTTCTGCGTTTAACAGGCTCCCCATGTTCATGCAGTGCGTTTGCAGGAGGTTGCTGCGTGCATTGGTGTCGATGTATTTCGACGACCTAACATTGCAGGACTGGCGTAGTCTCGCGGTCGAGACCCAGCAGCAGGTGGGGGAGATGTTTGGCTTCCCATTCTCTCCGGAGAAAAGGCAACAGCCTGCCGCCACAGGCGATTTCTTGGGGCTGATGCATGACTTTTCCACTCTCCGTCATGGCACCATCCAAGTCTGGGTGCGCCAGCGACTTGTGGTGAAGATCCTAGACATCATCCAGGAAGCAAGAGCAGCCAACACTCTCAGACCAGGCCAAGCCAGCAAATTGTTCGGGTGCGTGGCCTTCCTCGATCAAGGGGTTTTCGGACGCGTTGCCCGTGCAGGCCTCCAAGCTATCAAGGATAGGCAATATGCAGCGTCAGGCCGTGCGCGACTCACTGGAGAGCTTCTGGCAGCCTTTAGCACCATCGAAGCCGTGCTCGCCTTGCGGCCTGAACGCCTTGTCCGCCTCCTTCCCCAGCTTGGAGATAGGGTTGTAGCAGCCAGCGACGCTGCGCAAGATGCGCGCCGAGTTGGGTCTGGCGGGCTACTTCTTGTCACTGCCAGACGAGAGCGTCTGGGGGCCGTCGTCCCGATAGGTGATGCTGTTTTCGATCTCTGGGATGACCAAGACACAAAAATTGCCCAGCTGGAATTGCTTATGGTACTGCAGGGCTTGCTCGCCTTCCCGGCTGAGTTCAGGGGTGCGTCAGGAGTTTGGTATGTCGACAACATTGCTGCCTTGATGGCGTTGGTGCGCGGCAGAAGCGACAGTCCAGAGCTCGACCACATGGCACAAACCATTTTTATTCTTCTGTTCCACCTCCGGTGTTATCTTTGGTTTGAGTGGGTGCCTAGCGCAAGCAATTGGGCTGACGGCATATCCAGGCACGGATTCCGCGATACTTGGTGGCAGTCTCATCGTTTCTGTGTGCACTCCAGTGCGGTTCCAATCTTCTTGTGGCAGTTTCCACTGGCCATCCGCTCTGCAATCTTCAGCTTCCTAGCATAGCGGCCTAGTGCGTTGGGAGACTAGTATAGAAGACTTCTCAGCCCAATAGCTGGCTGTTGACTGAACCGTCTTCTTCGAGAAAAGGGATGCTGGGTGTCCACGCGATGCTCGCGGATGAGGTAGTGCATTGGGAGGTGTTGTCCCCCATCATGCCCATGAGTATTCGCTGTGTGCAGCGCGCCGCTGGGCGGCCCCTGAGATCAGGGACATCCAACGCACTATGAGGGAACCCCTCATGAACCGAGTAGCGCCCCTACATGTTCATGGAGTGAGTGCACAGAACGTGCAAAGCATTTTACTGGTGTGACCATTCTTATCCGTCGTGATGCAGTTTGGGCTGTCCGTCCCGTCACCTGGCCTCGGGACCACCCATGCCGAGCTTTCTATGAAGACAATAGATTAGTCGCCGCGCAAGTTTTTCTAGGGGCGGGTAATATTTCCCTTTTCATTTTTGGGCTTTACGCTCCAAGCGGCAGCCGCTGGGAGGCGGCGAAAAGGAGGTATCTCCGCAGCATGCTGCATGCTACGCAGCAGGATTTAGTTGAAAGAGGCCCAGTTTTGGCCGTCCTTGCCGGAGATTTTAACATGCCTACTGCAGAAGACACGGTCTTCGAAAATTTTTGTCAAGCCGGCCCTTGGCATGACTGCCATAAGTGTGCCACGCCTGATATGCGAAATGCACCCACTTGTCACCAAGGCCAAGGCTCCAGAATCGATTTTATCCTTGCTTCGTATTCTGCCTTCGACCTTGCTTCTTGCTATCGGGTGACACCCCTTGTTCTCTTTCCTACGCATTCCGCAGTGTGCCTTGACTTGCAGATGCCGCGCGCTTCCCAGATGCGGCACACGCTCAGGTCAGCAGCAAACCTGCCTTCCTTGGTCCCCCCTAAGCCCGCCGACGCTTTGCTTTTTCCTAAAATCCCCAAGACGTTTCGTGCTGCTTTAGCCAGGCTGGACCTTGATGCCGCTATGCGCATATGGAACCGGCTTGCAGAAGATACGCTGATGGACCTTGCCACCTCCCAAGGACACGTTGTTCAATCCAAAGTCACGATGCGAGGTGACATTAAGTACCAGGAAGATCGCGCCAACCCTCCTGTTTTTGCTGACCAGGCAAGCACGCTGATAGACCGCAGACTCTACAAGGCGATCTGTCGTGCTAAAGAAGTCGCTCAGGCACAACCAGGTTATAGGCGTGACCGCACCTGGTCTCTCCTGAATGAGGTGACTCAGCACTTGCCACATCCCTACCAGCAGTTGGTTCACGAGGCACTGCTTGCTCCTGCGTCCCCTCATGCTGCAGCAGCGGTGTCGAAACATCTCCGTCGTGCTGCTGAAAAACTTGCTTCTGATAACCGTACTGCGAGGATCCAGGAGTGGAAGAAACAGATGCGTAAAACTACTGCCGCCAGCACTTCCTGGTTGAAGGCCAAGGCTGCTAAGCCCCTTGTTAAAGTTACTCAACACAAGGGCGAAACCACTGCCGAAGTTGGCCGTAGACTTGAACTCATCCAGAAATGTTGGGACAGCGTATACCAAGCCCATAAGAAGAGTGAGCCGTCCTTACATTCGTTTATGGAGTCATATGGTGCCACGCTCTCCAGAGCTATGTGCTCTCTCCCCCCGTTAACTGGGGATGACCTGCGTGCGCAACTCAAAATCTGCAAGCGAACATGTTCCGGCCCGGACTGCTGGTCGTTTGAGGAGTTGCAATCCCTGGCCCTTTGGGCTCCTTCCTTGCTGGATTGCCTCTCTGACTTGCTCAACGCGGTTGAGCGCGCAGGCAAGTGGCCCATACCGCTCTGTACAGGTGCGGTTTCTTTCTTGCCAAAAGAAACCGACGAAGCGTTTCCAACCCCCCTTGATCACCGGCCTATTACTGTATTAAGCTCAATATATCGCCTTTGGTCGTCCACCCGCCACTCACAGCTTGCAACTCAGTGGCAACCGCGCTGGGCTTCTTCTCGCATTTTTGGTCTCAAAGGTGGCCGTTCCGCCGATGAGCTGGTGCTACAGACTTGCATGACGCTGGCAGAGGCTAAGGCCTCTGGGCAACACACAGGTGGATTATCGTTTGATTTTCAAAAGGCATTTGACTATGTCCCGTATGGTTTGGCCATCAACCTGTTTAGGATGAGAGGGGCCGATGATAATATATGTAGAGCCCTGGCAAATTTTTACAATCAGCATACCAAAATTTTTAAATTAGATGGCGCTGTCCACCCCCCATATCGTGCTGCAAATGGCATCATCCAGGGATGCCCGATGAGTATGTTGTTACTCACAAGCCTAACCCAAGCTTGGCATGAGCATCTGAGCGCCTCTCAGCCTCAGGTGGAATCCAAGTCATATGCTGATGACTTGTCTGCAACTACGAAAGCGGCGACACGCCCTCTCCTCATTGCTGAGCTTACTAAGGTTCACCAGCACACACAGCGCTTCGCCGACTTGTCGGGCCTGCGCATAAGCGTGCCGAAGTCATTCTCTTTTGGGGATACCCAGCTCAAGGGAAAAATTCCTGGGCTGCGAAACCATCAAACTGAGTTTCGGCTTACGGGAGGTAGTGTCAAAATAGGGAATGCCAAAAAGTGGACAGTGTTGGAGAAGAAACGTGCTAGCAAATGGTGCGAAACTGTCAGCAACATCGGCAAGCTGCCGTTCGGATGGTTTGCAAAGGTTAAGAAAATCCAGCAGGTCATGCCGCAGCTTACGAATGGTCAGGGCACGCATGCACTCGCCGCCAGCTGGGTGACACTGCGCTCACTAAGAGCGGAATGCGTGCGCTCGCTTCTTGGCACCAAAGATTACAGCGCCTCGCCTCTTATGGTTTTCACTCTCTTGGCTCCTCCCTCGCTTGAACCTGAGTTCGCACTGCAATACGCTGCGCTTGGGTTATTTAAGAGGTTCCTTAAGTGCCCTACTGCACGCCGCCAACTGCAGAATGCCCTGGCATCGCACCCAGCTTCTTGCGCCTGTGGCGCGGGCGCGCCAACTCCGTGACTCAAGCATCTTTGGGAAAATTTTCCAAGAAATTTTGGCAGGTCGACAGCTTGCGCATGACTGGCAACATCAGTTGCGAGAGAAGTGGCGTTTGCATGCACTGGCCATAGTGTCTAGGGATCGTGCGCAGCATTTTGGAGGCGTCCGAAATAACATCCAGCGCGAGCTCACTTGTTCTCTCCTGCGTCAGTGGACAGAGCAGGCTGACCAGTTGCAGTGCTTGATCGATTCGGGCTTACAAACTAACCCCGACCCGAACAAGGACCCTAGAGTTAGGTTAAAAGTTTTGCGGCTCCTCCTGGTAGGAGGACTCATGAACCCCGATAAGGATGCCAGGCACAGGCGCAAAGGTCAGGCCGTATGTGCGTGCGGAGGCACGCCAACAGTCGAGCACATCTCTTGCACTTGTCCGAAGTTTGCCACGCTGCGCCAGCCGGCGATAGCCAACCTCCCTTGCGCCACCTCTGCCCTGCCAATTTGTTTTCGGTCGTGCACGACTGTGCCCCATTCCATGCGCATTGGTATCAATGCCTTGCATGCCATTCAATCTGCGCTTGTTGATGTTTGGCAGGCACATATCACTGAATGGACACAAGCCTCGGATGACGCCACCATGGCGCCCAATCAGCCGGGTGACGAGAGGCCTCCCGAGCGGTCAGCTGATGCTCAGCCCCAGCAAGCTAGGCCTGTTGAACGGAAGGGGCACGTTCTGCATTCCACTGCATCCGGACGTACCTTCTGCGTCAAATGTGGTCGACAAACCCAATATCCCAAACATGTACGATCCAAAATTTTAAAAACTCCCTGCCCCTTCCCTAACTTGCCAGAAGCGGAATGGCTCTCAGAACCAGGCCGCATGCAGTCGGCATCTTGCCTGGACGAGCAAGAACGCAAACTTCGGCAAGACCACAACCAAGGCAATCACACAATCCACTGGAACAGACAAACGGGCAAGGGTCGTCGAAAGGCCAACTACGGCGAAATCTATTGCAGCAGATGTGGCCGAAGATGGGGATGGATGTGTCGACATAACAACTTTCGACGAACTGAGTGTTTCGAAAACTCCGATGCCCTCAATCCTCCCTCTTGGTTCCAGAGGAATGAAGATGTGTCTGCGGCTGCGCCAGCTGCACAGCCCGCACATGTTCACGACCCCAGGGTCAGTGAGCGACCTGTAAATAATGATCCCACCGTCCCACCGTTAATAACCCGCCCGCTAGCCTGCAGCCCAGAGCACGAAGGCGCCTCAGGTACAAGGCTAGCGCTGTGCATGCACCAAGTGCGCCCAAGGAGCGCAACACGACATCTCATCGGCGCAACGACACATTGCAGTCAGAGCAGAGAGCACTTGTTCAGAACAGAGAGCTTCCTTCGAGCTCGCGAGACGTTCCCCGTATGGGGATCGGTTGAGGGAGCCTTCCAGAGAGGGGGGGGGACGTGTGCCCCGTCGCTCAGACAAGCCACTTCTACTTTTGGGATCCGGCTGGTTTTACGGCCGACGGAAGCGTCGAGGACTTCAAGCGTCGCCGCCAGACTGAGATCAAGCACGGCCGCATCGCGATGCTTGCCCCGAGGGGACCCCCCTGAACACGGACTGCCTCCTGCCTCAGCGCGGTAGGGGGGTGGCAACAGCATGGCACTACGATGTGTGAAGATGATTGCCCTTCGGGGAGCATGTCATGCTGGCTAAGCGGTAGACGTGGCTGCCGACTTCTGCATTGACTTCAGTTGCCCCTTGGGTAGCTCGTGATAACCAGGTGCCGGTGGCAACAGGATGAGGTTGTTAGCTGCAGCTTCATTCTTTTCTTTTGCTTTCTTGCCAATCATGTGAGAGTTTCATTTCGAGTCGACCGATATTCTGCTGGACCGCCTTCAACGAATGACTTTTCGTAGTCGAACCCTCACGGGAGCTGCCAAAAGGAACCGGCGCGGTTACAGAGAAATTTACGGTGTAGATCCACACTACAGGCATCTTTTTTCCCGCTGCAACGTCGGCTACTTGAACGTTTGTGGCGTCCGCCGAGCTTTTGATGTCCTACCTAATGGAGAATTGGAAATTCGCGGTTTTGCTGAGATTGAGGTCCTGAAGTCCAGAATGGTAGATGCTTCGCTTTATGCTCTTGCTGTGAGCGAGCTCCGCCTGCCGGGATCAGGTGCAGTTGACCTGGGAGGCGGCTTTTTGCTCGTCTACCAAGGCTCGGAGGTTGCGGATTTATTTTGTCCCCTGGCGCAGCTCGCGCATGGAGGGATGACGGATCGCGCGCTTTGGGCAAATCTTCAGGCAGAGTTTTATGTATCTCCTTGCGCCTGGCGGGAGATGAGGGCCGCTGGCATTTGACGTCTGTGTATGCTCCAACAATGCAACGCCCTGATGTCGAGAAAGACCAGTTCTGGGACGATCTGCAGTCCGTCTGGGACACGCTGCCAGCGCGCGAGCCTGCGTGGATTTTGGGTGACTTCAACGCTCGCATTGGTCTAAACACTGAGGCTGCTCCTTCTCCAGCTGCGGAAGGCGTACATGGACCGCATGGCCTTGGTCAGCGCAACGCTAATGGGGATCGTTTTCTCCATTTCTGCTCTGAATCTCACCTCAAGATTCTCAATACTTTCTTTGCGCATTCAGTGGATGAGCTCACGAGCTGGGTTCACAGACGATGGGGCACGCAAGGCATGATTGACTACGCAGTCGGCCGGGCGACAGACTGGTGTTTTGTTCTGGACACTCACTCACTTCCACGTGCAGAAGTCAACAGTGATCATCGCCTCATGGTTTTGAAGTTGCGAGCAGCTCCAGGTCGGTATGTACGGCAGGCCTTGACAGCTACTCGTGACACCAGACTACCACGTTTGTGTGTTGCCAAACTTCAGGATAAGGACACCTGCGCTGAGTACGTCCAGCAGGTGGAGCGCCTGCGACAGGGCGCGCCTAGTAGTTTCCCTGCGCTGTCTCGGGACTTGTACCAGGCTGGAGTTTCTGTTTTGGGCAACGCGCAGAGCAGCGCTTCGGACTGGCGTGATGGGCATGAAGATGCACTTCGGGCTATAGCGGTGCGACGTCAGCAGGCTCTGGATGCCCTTCAACACTCACCTGGCTCTCAGGCATGCTTGCAGGAACTTCGGGATGCTCGTCATGCCTCACGTCGTGTTGTTCGTGACCTTAAGGCTCGGTGGTGGTCCAGTCGACTACAGCGCCTAGAGGCGGCTGCTCGCCGCAATGACGCGGCCACTGCCTTTAGTGATGCTAGAGAAATGGGCCGCCTGCTTCGATCACAAGGTGTTTCTGTGGAACCGCTGGCTGCGTCACCTGACGCCGACCTGGCTTCCAAAGCTGCTCATTTTCAGGCTGTTTTGAATGTGAGACGCCCGGTGTCTCCGACCATATGGGATGCAATTCCGGACTTGTCTTCAGACGCGGCTGACATCTCTTGGGCTGAGCCAACAGAGCATGAACTTCGGCGCACCATCATGCAGCTGTCTCACGGCAAGGCTCCCGATGCTACTGGTGTGCACGCCGAGCTTCTGAAGGCGCTTGTTAAAACCACAGACCCTGCTGGTGACGCCGTTGTCGCTGAATTTCACGCCTTAGTCCAGAGACTGTGGCGTGGAGAAGTGCTAGATGTGAGCACATGGCACACCTCGCTGTTGTTCTCCATCTGGAAGGGCCGTGGGCTGATCTCAGATCTCGATGGACATAGAGGAGTGGTACTCTTAGATGTGCTCAATAAAGTGGTGTGTAAAATGTTGGCTTCACGCTTGTCAGAGCTTGCAGAAAAACATTGTGCTGAGTCCGAGACTGGATATAGGCGTGGTCGGAGCTGCACTGACTCGCTTTTCATGATGCGACGGCTCTTCCAGGAGTGGTCTGGCTCTCGTCCGACCCAAGCTGCTGCGAGCCCCTCACTGTATGTCTTGTTCATAGATCTGACTCGTGCTTTCGATGCAGTGCCACGAGATTTCTTATGAACATTGCTACAGCGCAAGATGGGCGTACCGGCGCATATAATCGCCTTACTAACAACCATCTATGAAGGTATGACAACTCGGGTGTGCGGTCGACGGGGCCTGCTGAGTGATCCTATAGATATGTCCACGGGGGTTCGCCAAGGATCCATCGAAGGACCAGTGCTGTTTTTGATATACTTTGCGGTCGTGCTGAAGGTATGGCGCCAGCGCTGCGATGCTACCCTTGGTACCAACCACGGTGTCCCTTGGCAGTCAGTAGTTGATGGCACTCTTCGGTTGCCGACTTACATACGCCGCTGTGCTTCACGAGAGCATCGTTTTCGCGATTCGGTCTTTGCAGACGATACAGCTATCTTTGCTACGAACTGGGATGACTTCTGTCAAATGTCGGAGCTTTTCAACAGCACATTGCGCGACATGGGTGGCCATCTTAATGCGAGCAAGACAGAATGGCTTGAGCTGCGCTCCTTTGCTAGCATTCCTGACGCTGCTCCGTTGCCTGGTACCAAGATACTGACAATTGCTGGACATCATATTAGCAAGACTGCGCAGTTCAAGTACCTGGGAGCTATCTTGGGGGTGGATCGCACCTGTGGCGTTGATGCTGATGTGCGACGCCGAGTGAGTCTTGCTCATGCGGCTTTTTCTAAGCTTAGGCACCTTTGGAGAGCGCATGAAATTTCGTACAGGACCAAATCGCGCATGTTGCTGTCCTGTGTGGCTGCAGTTCTTTTGTATAGTAGTGAAGCGTGGACGCTTCAGTATTCTCATCATCGTCTTCTACACAACACTTGGATGATATTTGTGAGGAGAGCGCTGCGCCTGAAGTACGCGGACATGCAGACACTTCGTCTTGACAACGATGCGTTGCTGGCAAGACTAGGAGTGCCGAGTGTTTTCACTCTGCTCGCTCGTCGGGCGCAATGGCTTGGGCATGTGGCCAGACTACCTCCGCATCGACCTGCGCACGCTGCCCTGTTCGGCACAATCCCAGATCGCACCCTTCCGTCAGCCGTTGAGATTGGGGCCCCCAGTCATCACTACACCGGACGAGCCAAGGTGGTGATCAGGACACTTCCGCTAGACAACTGGCAGCTATGGTCCAGAAAGGCTCAGGACAGAGTGGCCTGGCATAGACTTGTGGAGCAGATCAAAGTTGCAGCTCTTGGTCGCCATGCTCCCCGTGCTAACAGGGCCAGAGTCCACGCTCCAGGGGGTGTCGCTTTGCAGGTGGTTGCTTTTCAGTGCCCGCTCTGTCCTTACAGGGGTCGAAACTCACAAGGTCTGTCCCGTCACTTGAATCATGCACATCCTGTGGTGCGAGAAGTTTACAGATGCCCTCACTGTGACAAGGTTTATCGCCACAAAGACTACTTTACCATGCACCGTCGGGAATGTCAAGCCCCTCCGGGACTCGCCCCAGCAGCTCCGGCTCCAGTGGCACCGCGTGTAGCCGGCGCTCGCACTGATGCAGCACGACTGTTTGCATGCACAGATCCAGTTTGTGGTATGACCTTTACGTCCGCCAGTCAGCTTGGGTGACATACCCGAGAACAGTGTCTTGGACGAGCCAACTCTGGCGCGGTACTGCGTGATGGTCGCTACAAGCTACCGTGCCCACATTGTGGGCATGAGTTTGACACCAAGCGTGCCTTGGGAATTCACCGGCATCGCCAGCAACATTGATCCCGATGCAGTTTTCTTCTTTTTAGCATAGTTGGCTCATGACCTCTGCATCAACTACAATGTGAGAAATGAGTGCCGAGTGTGGGAAGGCATCGCCTTCACTTGATGAGGGCAAGCCCGCCCTGCACTGACGGCCAGACATGCTCTTGCAGCATGGCGCAACTACGCGACCTTGACTGCAGGCATTGGGATCGCAGCCTAGTCTCTTACTAGCTTGGGGGTTGAGCTATGGCCGGAGCGCGGTCGGCCAAGTCTTTCGTGCAGGCTCTTCAGGGAGCCACTTCGGCGCCGACTGCAACAGGCAGCCCGGTTCACAAACGTGCTCGTGCTGATGGGCAAAACGCTAATGGTCAGAGTCCTTCGCTGGCTTCGCTGCAGCATGGTGGCCGAGCGGACCACACTCGCAAGCCCCTGGTCCCCCTCTCGAATGCTGAGCTCACTCTGGCGTTTGTCAACCAGCAGGACCAACTCGACCAGTTGCAGCAGCAGTGTGCCGCGGTTTTCCGCTTCCCTTCCGACAATGTCTTCGCTCAGCGATTGCTTTCGGCTGTTGACCAGTGGAAAGCAGAGCATCGGCCGGGGCGCCCTCATCCGCTTGGTGCTTGCTCGACAGCAGTTGCGCTCGCTGTGCTCTTTGGCTTATCCGATGCTAGCCCTCGGCGGTGCCTATGGATAGGGCCTGATGGTGTTGGGTCAGGTTTGCTGTAGTGCGTGCCCGGCATCTTGTTATGCTCGCGGCCTGGCCTTCTGGCCTTGTTTCCTGGTTTCTTCTTTAATTTGCCTCTCTGCAGTGCAGGCCCGCCCTCCTGTAGGGTTGCGGCCTGGGCCTTGGGCCCCGATTGTGGTTTTCAGTTTTGCAGCTCCTTGAGCCTGCTTTCCTTTGGATTTTCCTGTAGTGCCTTCAATGTTGGGCTCTGGCCCTCTACAGCTTGGATATGGATGCTTACACCACCATACTCCTCTACAAGACTTCGTCGTCGTCGCATCGCGATGCTTGCGGCAATGGGATACATTACTCCTGAGCAACTTGGTTGCGCGAGGTCTTCAATTTTGTAGCACCTGGAGGCCGCCGCGCCCAACGCGGAGTCGGTGCTAATTGGTTGGTTCTGGGGAGTAGGGGCTACATTCGGCGCACTCTTCTTCTTCTTCTTCTTCTTCTTCTTCTGCGCGAGGTCAATGATGGGCGCCGAGTGCTTTTTGAGTTTTTTCTCATTGACGTTTTTATCACAAGTGACATGTTCAGTTTCTACATGTGTTCCGTTGTGTAGTTGACCAAGGATCACCGGCAAGTTCCCTGGTTATCTGTCGCCATCACCAGGGTTGAAATTCGCCGATGTCCTGGCTCGATTTCTTTTTCGTTAAAGGTCACTCGGGGGATAAGGGAAATGACCAGGCAGATCGCTTGGCTGACCTTGGGGCCAGAGGTAAACAAACTCTACAGAGCCAAAGGTGGCTGTCTCCTTTAAACGAGGCACCTCCAGTCAAACCTTTACATATGGACCATTGTTGGAGATGTAATCGGGTGTACTCCGGCCCCTCGCATGCGCGCCAACTAGCGGGCCATGAGGCGTATTGCAAAGTTCCTGGAGCTCCGCCCCCTTACATTTTATGTCGTAATGGGTGTGGCAAACGGTTTGCGTGGCAGTCGGACGATGGTTCAAAGAAACGTGTTCATCATGCCAGAGAGTGGAGAAATCTGCATGAGAAGATTTGTAGGGGATCTGAGCGTCTGACATTGGAGTGTCCCTACTGTCAGTACTCCTTCCCTGTTGGTACAACGGATGAAACAGTTTTACTTCATAGGAACAACTGCTCTAGTTGCCCTGAGGATGCTAAGTCGTTGCGTCGCACTCGAACGTGCGAAAAGTGTGGGGCTAACATTCCAATTGCTAAATGCGAGGCTCATCAGGAATCGTGCAGGGGTTCAGTTCAGGCAAATCGTTCCTGTCAGTTGTGCGGGGTGTCGTTCCAGTCTGTAGACGCTCGTTTGAAGCATGAAAATGTCTGCAGAGGTTCGGTTGACGCAAACTTGACTTGTTCCAAATGTAAGCGTGTGTTTGACTCATGGGGAAGCCGTATTGCGCACGAAAAAGCTTGTCAGGGGGGGAAGGCTTAGTTCAGGTGGGTTGTGCCTACTCGGTTGGCTCGGTCCCGCTTGCGGGAGACCGGGCCCCACAAGCTCCTTTGCTGCGCCCCTTCCGGCTGTGGTCCTGCTTGCAGGAGACCACAGGGTGCTTGTGCCGGCGCAGTTGGGGAGTGGTCCATGGGTGGGCGTCGTTGTGTCCTTTGGGAGGGTTCTGGCGTTTGTCGTGTTTTTTTTTCTTCTTTCTCGTTTTTTTGTTTCTCTCTCCTCTTCTGTGCTTTTGCTTCCTGTCTTATTTTCGTCCTCTTCCTTCGTTTTGCTTACTTCTTGATCCTACCAGTTCCATGGATATGAAGTTGGTTTGCCGCCAGATCACCAGCTTTGGTCACCTGATATTCGAATGGAGATCGGGGAGCTCTTCCAGGACTGCTTTTGGGACAGGACTACTGGGGAGCTTGCTGCTCTACTGTGGCCTGTGCATGCTCTGTTCACCAAAGGGTTCATGTTTTTCCGCCTTTCCGCAGGTGTTTTCCGAGCTTCCGCGCGACCCGTTTGATAGCCTCCCGTTCGTTAAGTCCGCTCAGCGTGCAATGGAGGGACGTATGGAAGCACGACTTGCCCAGCTCGAAGACAAGGTTGCTGAGTGGGACGCCACTTTGCGGGTCAGGGTGAAGGGGTGCCAACCCTTGTTGGAAGAGGCAAGGGAGATCGAGGGGGGCTCCAAGGAATTCTGGCGCCTGAAGGAGAAAGTAGGCGATATCTTGCTTCAAGCTCTTACCGAAGAGCTAACCAAGTGTCCGCAAGCCTGCAAAGCGGTACCGGATACATGGCGCACGGAACTCACCCAGGTGTTCCGTGCTGAATTCCTTGTCGGGGTTTTCAGTGTGGGTGGGAAATTCAGCTCCTCAGAGCTGGTGGACATCAGATTCCGGCCAGGGCTCCAAGGGCTGCGTGCCAACTTCCTCGTCAAAGACTGTCTCACTCGGATCCTCAAGGAAATCCCCCAAGCGTCGTTTGGCATGTGGGTTCCCCTCTCCGCCCCCGAAACAAAGCGCAGGCGGCGCGCGGCTAGCAACCCAGCCCCTGCGGAGAAAGACAGGGTGTCTCGGGCCCGCCGGGGTAATGGGGGTGGTGGTGGGGAGGGTGCCAGGCCAGCTCGTCGCTAGTTTCTAGTCTGTCTTGTTTTCCTCGTTCGCGGCCGATGCGTGGCGTTCCTACTCACTGTTTGGGTTTGCTATGGATGGCTGATGTGGGATGGGCAAGAATCCATCGCTATCGGCCGTTAATGAGGGTTTTTTCTATGGGCACTAGATTGCGATCCCTGGGATCAGACCACAGCCTGCCAGCTCGGGTTAGCTTTTTTGAAATCCGCTCAAGATTCTGGTTACCGCGCGTGTGACAAAACTTCGATGCCAATCTTCCTCTTTTCTTCTCCCTCCGGCTTTCTCGTTCCCGTTCTCTCGTTCTCTTCCCCCCTCTCCCCCTCTCTCTCTCTCTCTCTCTCTCTCTCTTTCTCTCTCTCTCTCTCTCTCTCTCTCTCTCTCTCTCTCTCTCTCTCTCTCTCCTCTCTCTCTCTCCTCTCTCTCTCTCTCTTCTCTCTCATCTCTCTCCTCTCTCTTCCTCTCTCTCTCTCTCTCTCTCTCTCTCTCTCTCTCTCTCCTCCTTTCTCTCCTCTCTCTCTCTTCTCTCTCTCCTCTCTCCTCTCTCTCTTTCTCTCTCTCTCCTCTCTCTCTCTCTCTCTTCTTCTCTTTCTCTCTCTCTCTCTCCTCTCGTCTCTCTCTCTCTCTCTCTCCTCCCTCCCTCTCTCTCTCTCTCTCTCTCTCTCTCTCTCTCTCTCTCTCTCTCTCTCTCTCTCTCTCTCTCTCTCTCTCTCTTTTCTCTTGCATGTTGTTTGGGAACTGCAGCGGTCTTGTGTGTTGGTGGAGTGCATATTTGGTGGGTCAAGTCATCTGCATCTGCTGGGGGGACGCTGGGGGTCTTTTCTGGCCGTAACCCCAGGACGACGACGACGACGATGTCCTGGCTAAAAATTATAGACCAAGTCCTTCCACGTGCGCGGCCCGCCCGTTCGTACCAGGCGCGGCTCAACTCTTGGAAGGTCGGGGATGCAGCCATTCTCCCACCAACGTTGGCGAGTGAAGAGCGCAGCTCAGTTGCTGCTCCTACTCTCCCCTTACAATGCCCGGCGTGCAGCCACGTTGCCAAAACCGCCAGAGAACCAGGTCCATTATGATGGCCAACACGCGGTTTTTGATGAATTCCTTCTCACTGTCAGCACACGTCGATGTCCTCTATGCTCACAGGTGTTTGTTTACTCTTCGGACGCCAAAACTCATCAGTGTCCAAGTAAAATTCACACACTTGATGATTTGTCAAAAGCTGGTAGTGCGACCAGGTCGTGGACCCGTCCTCACTTTGACATGGACAATCTGACAGGATGGGTCCTCTATGTTGACGGCTCTGGACCTCATGATTCAATAGTTTCTGCTGGTTGGGGGGTTGCAATATGGTCTCTCAACTCGGACAACTGGGCACCGGAGTGCGAGTTGTTTGGGCCTGTTCCGCTCAAGTCCTGGGATAAAAGATGGTTGGGAGCGGTCAGACCTACTAATAATGTTGGGGAACTTACGTCCATGGGTGAGGCCCTCCTTTGGCTTCAAGATGAGGCTCCTGGTGCGCCAGATCTGCCCGAGCGTATTTATTATGATTCTCAGTATGCGCATCATGCCATCACGGGTACCGCTCAACCAGACGCAAATGAAGTCCTTATCGGCAACGTAAGGGAAATTCTGTCCAAAGTCAGGGTCATGCGGGCAATCGATTTCATACATGTTAAAGCTCACACAGGTGTTGCCGGTAATGAATTCGCAGACCAGTTGGCGGATCAAGGGGCCAGAGGTCTTCAGACCACTACGTCTCGGCGTTGGTTGACCCCTTGTGACACCCCT